TACCCATTCTCTGGGAGCCCTAGACTACAGACTCTGTGGAACCAACAGTTATTTTTTGGTGTTAAAACTAATGTCATCACAAAATTAAAAAACAAAAACAAAACCACAATAAAATATTAGGACACACAATAACGTTTCATGACACCTCCTGACCACCACCTACTGATCTTCATGAAAAAATGCTAGGGAAGTGATCATGACTTTTAATGTGCAATAACAGAATCACAGAATCACAGAATTTCTAGGTTGGAAGAGACCTCAAGATCATCGAGTCCAACCTCTGACCTAACACTAACAGTCCCCACTAAACCATATTCCTAAGTTCTACATCTAAACATCTTTTAAAGACTTCCAGGGATGGTGACTCCACCACTTCCCTGGGCAGCCTGTTTCAATGTCTAACAGCCCTTTCGGTAAAGAAGTTCTTCCTAACATCCAACCTAAAACTCCCCTGGCGCAACTTTAGCCCATTCCCCCTCGTCCTGTCACCAGGCACGTGGGAGAACAGGCCAACCCCCACCTCACTACAGCCTCCTTTGAGGTACCTGTAGAGAACGATAAGGTCGCCCCTGAGCCTCCTCTTCTCCAGGCTGAACAAGCCCAGCTCCCTCAACCGCTCCTTGTAGGACTTGTTCTCCAGGCCCCTCACCAGCTTCGTCGCCCTTCTCTGGACCCGCTCAAGCACCTCGATGTCCTTGTAGTGAGGGGCCCAAAACTGAACACAGTTCAGTTTCGAGGTGCAGCCTCACCAGAGCTGAGTACAGGGGGACGATCACCTCCCTTGCCCTGTTGGCCACACAAATAACAATACTATTGAAGCTCTTTTGGACAAATAGGTAAATAAATGCAAATGAGTATCTGAATACAGAGATGTTTAAAAGAAATAGTAGCTAACAATTTATATATGGATAGAACAAGTTTTCAGGATTGGGAGGATAATGTCTTCACATTCAGATTTGATGCTTATTTTAAAAGATATGCTTTACCTGGAGCATATTGTTGTCATCAAGACAGGAATGACAGGTTAAAATTTTCTTTGTCAGGTCAATTAGACTAATTAATATGAATAACTTCTGAACCTAAAATCTGTAGGAAAGAAAACCAAAAAATCTCAGGTCAAGAATCCTCATCTGAGGCCTCTTGGTCACTAACTCCAAGCTATTTAACATTAGATACTGCTCTGAAGGTGTAGACTGATCTCAAAATATGTGAGAAGAGCCGTCTCCCAAAGACACTAGATTGCAGACTGTTTAGAATGCTAAATTTGGCTCCAGTATCAATCACACACTCAGGCAAGGTATCATTGGATCTCATGAAGCACCAAGAGCATTATGTTTTGTGTCTTACCAGGGAGCTATTTTTTCTGACAGACTATATTATTTCACCCACAAGAAACGTGTAAGGTAATTTAGTCTCATCTTGCTGTCAACAATGATGCTAGCGAGCAATGCGTGCAGTCAAGAGAAAGACAGCTGCCATTGGAGCTTTATACTGTTATCTTCTATACTACAAATAAAACACATCCATTCAGACTCATTCTGATTGTGACAGCCTTAGAGACACAGTAAAACAGAAGAAATGTGCGCCAAGACATTGTTAGTGCAGAGAAGCAGCTGTATTAAGTAGCTGTGCCTCTTTGAGGCACCAGAAATGACAAATACTCAGAAGTAGCTTCAGCTAAAGCCTTGCAACTGAAATGACTACTGTACTTATAAATGCAGTAAAGTCATATTATTCAGGCATAGATATTTACAGGAAAGAGATTGCATAATTTCTCATCAACCGCTGACAATGCTAAATTAAAAACAAAAAAAACTAGTAAACCCAGCAACCAAGACAGGACCATGAATACTACCTGTGAGGTGCTAAGTGATAAAAAGACCCAGACTTCAGTGAGACTGAGGCTACAGAAAGTGGTGCCTGTGCCAGAAAGTAAAATATGGAGCAAATTCTGCCACTAGTACTCAAATGGATTGAATATATTCATCTTTCACTACTTCCATTCATTCCTATCTCTCTGTTCAAGGCAGAAAGGAAAAGGTAGTAGCAACAAATATGCAAAATGCAGAGACAATAAAAATGCAGCATCAGACAGGTCTAAATACACCTCTTATATTGAACTAATGAAAAATACAGAGAAAATTTTCATTCGATTTTTATATGTGGAAGAAGTTCATTTTTCTTCTGCCCTGTACTTTTTTTGCTTGATAAATCATAGTTTTGGCAATTGATAATTCCCCTTTCATTCAACCTAAAGGGCCCCTTATTTCAGACTACAGTTTAGGGGAATATAAATCAAAAGGAATGCAAAGTCAGATGAAAAAGGAACATTATGTGACTGGAAATGTGGAATGAGGAGGTAAAGTCATAACTTTTAAAATATTTGTTTTAAATTAGAATGACACCATACAGGGGAGCTCACATACTGTTTTTACTACTCTTGTGCTGCAGTAACTTATAAACTCTGTATTGGTCAATGACTTTAAAGAAATTGATGGAGCTTTTTTTCAGTACCAGCTATTTAGTAATTTCATAGTTCAGACACAAACATCCTGTAGTATCTCTCTAAGCCCAACATAATCATTTATGCAGTCTATAACCTCAATACAAAAATATTAAAATAATAAACACAACTCAAAACCTCATGTTTAAAGACCCATGACGTTTAAAGAGTACCATTCTTGCTATGCTTGATACATCATATCATGGCTAAAGTCAATGCAATACCCACTGACACTGCTGTTTTTGTTCAATTAGACATGCTTTTAATGCAGTATTTATATCACATGTTACTTTTCTGTAAACAAAGCATTGTATGCATAGAACAACAGAGTTTGGGAAATGAAGGAAAAATTACCTTTTGATGAGTGTATGCTTAGTATTAAATCTTTGTCCATGGACCTACATAAGCACTATTTTACAGGTTCTCCCTAAGGCATTACAACAACCAAAAACACCTGAATAAGGTTAGTGATCATGTACAGTGAAAGTGCATGTCATGCAACTTAAAGTATTTGGGAATACCAGGTCTAGGAACTTTAATTAACTCACAGGATGGCACTCCATTGGAAAAGAGTCTAGGAGGCTGCAGAACTGAATACCATTATGAAAGAGTCGGGTAATAAAGCTCACACAAGGAAGTCGATCTTTAAAAAAGGATCTGAAGAAAAAGGAGGAGATCCAAATATATGAGAGCAGCATGAAGCTGAGAGAAAAGAGGGGCAGAGGAAGGAAAGATAAAAGTATGCAGAGAATAGAGGATGACATCAGTACAGAGATAAATGAGAAAAGAATTCTACAAAGACTTGAAGAGCAGGGTATTTTTCCTAGTACAAGAACTGAACCAATTATAGAGGCAACAAATTTGAAACAATTACAAAGAAGTACATTTTTATGTAGCACATGAAACTCATTGCCTCTGGGTAATCAAAACTTAATGGGAGCCAGAAATGGATAGGTTATAGTTACACTACACAAGATTCATTTCATCTGTAGAAGAAAAATTCTTTATGCTTCCTGGCAAAAGCAGGTACTAAGTGACGAAAAGAATTAGAAAGAGATTTACCTAATTTGACATACTGCAATACTTATCCATTATGGCCTCATGTAGCTTCTGTTAAAACAATACTATCCAACCATAATGCAAAAAGCTCCAACAGTTTTGGAATTCATACAAAACCTCAGAGTGCCAGCCTACTCTTATCAACAAGGCACTCAGAAGAAACTCTTCCTGAAAGCAAGTTACCTCTTGAGTACTTTTTTTGCAAGGTAATTCTATTGAAGCAATTGCTGTTAGCCATTGCTGGAGAAAGATACTGGATTAACTGTGCTTATAGGGTGATGCAATATGCCAGTTCTTATGTTGCTCTTGTTTTGATGGATGGAAGGGCAGTGTGAAAGCTGCAAAATCCAAGACAGAGATGACTAATCCAGTCCTGGCTTAGCAGCAATGAGGGAAAAGACTGTCTTGTGCAACGTAACTGTTGTCTGGAACGTGTAAATGTGTGAAAACTGTGACTGGTGACTGTGCTCAAGGCAAAACTAATTCATCAGTTTTCTGAGCAATGTAAGGACAGGACAAAAACTAGAACACCTCAAACTATTGGCTTTCTCTCCTATTAACACAAGAACTGCTTGGACTTGGGTGGGGATCAGGACAGAGGCTAAGTTCCATCATTACTTAGACTTGCTTTGCCCAGTGCAAATGTTCTGTTTAAATTTATACGTTGCTTTTTGGAGAAAGGTTATCACCAGTAGCAACGGGCAAAATATTTGGTACTGAATAGTCTGTAAATTTATCCTCTACAATCCAAATCTTTGGATTTGGAAAATAATTTGAAGGGAAGGAAGGATCAGCTCCTGTATCTGCTATGGTTCCAGACGCATCTTGATTTTAGGCAAAAGAGAAGAACTCTCATAAGAAAAATAAATTCAACGACCTTCTCAGAAAAGTGTCTCCACTTTGTGGTAACTAGGACGCTACCCCAGGGCAGAAGTATCACTCTACCTATGAATGGTACTGTTTGACTTTTATTCTGAAGCAACAGTTGCTGCCCCTTCTACATGCTATTCCCTTTAACTGAAGATATTATTTTTTATCTACTCACCTCTTGGGGTGAAATCTCTGTCCCACTGAAATCAAAGGCAAAACAGCTAACTTCAAAGACCTAATAATTTCTGCTACCTTCTCGTTCTTCATATTAATTATGCTTTAGATTTCAAGTATTTCCTTTTGTTTATTTGAACTCTTCATTTTATTGCATTCTTCCTTTCCTGTCCCTCACATGAGAAGAGAGTAAAGAAACCCAGCTGATTTTCCTTATACTATTATTTCATAAACCTTTAATGATTCAGCTCCTTTCTGTAGAGAGAGTTCACATCACTTCAATCTTTTCAAACAAAATCCCAGCCTCTGATCAGTGTTCATTGGCCTTTTCCTAGTACGATAACTTTGAGCTATGTAATGAAGATTGACCACAGGATCCAATATCAAAGCATACCATCAGTGCGACACGGCAGGCGCAGCAGAGTTTCTCTCTCCCTCTCTCCTTTTCCTTATGGCTTCTTAAAATGTGCTTTTCTGTTCACCACTGGGCACTGAACAATTACTGTACAGAGAAGATGGAAAAAATTGCAAAAGGTTACAGTGAAACATCAAGAAAAAACAGCCCCTCCTTGTGATATTTATGTTTCTGCTGCTGGCCCTGGCAGAAGTCCAGATTCTGAATGAACAAAACTCCCAGTGGCTTAGGAACTACAGAATTCAGACCATAGTCAGGAAATGCAATAGCATATGACAATGGGAATTAAAAAAGAAAAAAGAAAAAAACAGCTTTCCAATCCTTTTGAGCTTCCAGCTCAATCAGTTTGGATCAAAATACAGGGACTGTTGAGATTTTGCGTGAATGAGTTCTCTATTGCTAAACAAAAACATGTGTGTGTTACAGTGTAAGACAGTTAAATGGTAAACAGTACGTGGCTCTGCTTCCTCAATGATGTTTCATTTTCACAGTACTAGAACTTATAAAATTCCATTTTATATAGAAGGCCAATATCCTCTCTATTCAAACACAGTGAGGAACTGTTTTCTAAAACAGAAAGTCATATTCCTATTTCTGACCTTTCCAGGAAAGCTACTTGATATACCACTGTTCACTACTCAGTGTCAAATCATAATTTTTCTAAAGATTAGTATTTAAAATACTGTGGTAATGTTTATTGTCATTTAGTGATTCGAGTTAAAACCGTGTCCTTTACAACATATTTCCTTAGGGGTAACTAATACCTGAAAACCCATTAGCTGGGAAAAAAATGCCAAATTTTCTTCTTTTTGTAAATACTTAAAATACAAGTTAACCACTATGATATTATCAGGAGCAGAGTGTTTCAGGGCTTCTGTAGGTGCTGTACAAAGCAGAAATTTAGGACAGCAGGTGTTTAAACACTCTTGTTGGCCATTTCCATGACCAGACAGGGCCGCATGTAAAATTCTGTTTTCTGTTTATGCTTTCCAGAAAAGTAGAGGATCCGTGGTTTGTGAGAACATTCCAAAGAGGTCTCACTATTTCAATAAATTAGCATTAGCTGTCTCAGAGATTTTTATTTTTTTAATTTACAAACTCTCTATGCAACTTGTTCCTACTTTCCCCTGAAAGCAGTCACATCACTGAGAGAAAGTAGGTTTCTGAAACAAGATTGCTAACCATCAATGTGTGAGCAGAGCTAGGGATCGACAGGCAGAGAAGAGCAGACCGATGAATGAAAAACAGCTGAGCACACCTATGGACATTGCAATAAGGTGGCTGCCTGCTCCCACCACTGACAGTGGATGCAACTCAAGTAGCATTTTGGTGAGAGGAGCTGCCATAATAATAGACGGGACTATGAACCATTTATTTCACAGCATACTAAAGGTGCAATTGAGAAAATGGGCAATCTGTGGCATAGCTCTCATTTCACACACACTCCATGGAAGGAGCAACAATTTTCTGAGTTCTTGATAAGGCTGGATCACAAAGGTGCAGTCTAGCCCATGAAGGGGAAAGTTATTTAAAAAAGAGCAGGTTAAAGGGACCATGCCACTTTGTGATGAAAACCATAAGGAATTGGCATTCAAAAGTAACTCCTATTATTATTATTATTATTTATTTATTTTGCTCCTAGAGCAGAAGCTGCCTATGAAATTATTACTAGTTTAATGTTTAAAATATCTGAAAAAAAAAAGTGTGAAACATGCTTGCCATCTCAGCCCCCAGCAGCAAATCCTGCCCTCGATTAATACAGATTCCCCCATGCTTCCCTGTAGGTTCAACATGTTTGAACCCCATCAATCCTAGGACCAGAGAGCGACGAGTAAAAACAAATTACACAAACCCCTTAAATGGAGTAGCGTCTTTGGGTAGCTGGAAGTTTGCTGGAAAGTTTCCCCCAATACAGCATCCCATTGCTTTTGTTTATCTATCCTTGCTGACATTTTCTTCAATTAGGAAACAATAGCTCCGTTCCAATGTACTGAGCAGAATTACTGAAACCAAGTCACGTGACGCCACAAGAGTGTGTTTTCAATTATTCACTCTGTCTTTTTTGCCAGGCCTATGAAGAGGAACAGCCTTCTGCAGGAGTCAGGTTTGTCTGCCTCGCTGTTGTAAGTTCGTCCTTTTGAATTTTTATTTTACAATTAGGGATTTATTTTTTTTTTAAACTGTAAATTCAACTCTCAGAGAGTTTCTTGCTCTTTTATTAGAGAATTTCCAAATCTCTTGCTCTTCCTACTGCCTGGAAATCCTTCACATCTGCAACAGTTCAGTTCTAATAGTACTGCTCAGTAACGAATTTGATGAAGATCACAAGATCTAGATTAAAAAGGCATGCAAGATATCATGCTATTAGCACTTGGTAATGTAAAACTCATCTTGCTCTTGCTAGTAAAGAAGCTTTAGCTTTCCTATTGTCTGGTTAACAGTAGTGCATTCCCATTCAATCTGGGAGCTACACCAAATTATTTACATCTTAAATGCTTGGTTTAATATCAACCAAAAATTTGAACCAAATGAGCACAGCTCAAATCATGTACTTTGTTTGCAGAAGGCAGACTGAGTTAGGACTTTTTAGATTTAAAGCTGGAAAAATAAAGCTTGGGAAAAAAAAAAAAAAAAAGAAACAGAAGGAACATTTGGTTTGCATTACAAACCACAGACAACTTCCATCAGGCATGCTGAAGGTATAAGAATGGCAAGAGAAAATGACAAGCAGTGAGTGCACTGGAGGTAAAGATGAATGGGCTGGAGAATTGACTTTGAAGTAATTGTCCATGCCCACGATACCTTGAAATCAGTTTGCTGTAATACGGTAATTAATCATGAAGCTTTTCCAGCACTTGTGATACTGTTTTCTGTGTAACATAATGTTTCTGGATATTTTTATTGGAAAACATATAGAATATATTTTTGGTTGCTCCTATATTTCTGTCGCTCATGCAACCCTGATTCAGCAGCTCTGGAAAGGATGTCGCCTTAGTTAAAGACCCGGGCTGTAATCTAATCCCTAGAGGCAGAGCAAGCATTTAACTGAAAATCTTCAGGTCTAATGGGCTTATTTTCACTGCAGCCACTGTGTTGAGATACTAGGTATGTCATTCAGGATTAAATTTGGTCTTTGAGTTAATAAAGCTCAAAGGAGGAGGAGGAAGTAACTGATGTAGCAGAGGTAAAGAGAAATTCTCTGTATAACGTAAAATTTCTCAGGAGAATTGCAGAGGGGTGGGATGGAAGAGTACGCTGAAAGCAATGTTTCCTTCCCTGTTTCAACAGGTGCTTCTGTTTTCCATGCATCTCAGATGCTTAGCACTAGTCAGAAGAAACTTTTGAACCATTTACTATTGATGGCAGTGCTCAATACTGATGCTCTTCAGCTCAGCAGCTTCAGGCAGTGAGAAAGGCCTCCCATGTCTCTTCCCATCTTTTATTCTATCTTGCCAGTCTCCAGAGAGCTGTATTTTGACCATTAAGCTATTAAGTCCTCTGCTTACCCATGTGCTTAATGGCTGTGATTTTTTTTTGTTGTTAATTCTTTCTCTTCACAGAAGTAAGAGTGCAGTTAGTATTTGCACAACATAGTATTTCATTCAAGGATTTCTATTTCTCCTACTTTTCCCCCATAGGCAAGATTGTTTAGATATGAATGTGCAACTTGGGCTCATTTCCGACACTGTTATTGGTAATATCTAATAGTGATTGCCAGAATCACAAAAGGAGCAACAATCCCTTCTCTAGACTTTCAAGTGAGCACAATCCACAGACCTTCAAGCAAGTTAGTTCTGTTGCTCTCTACCCAGGTGATGAGGTAGAAACTTGCAGAAGTTACTTTAATACATCAGCAGCAAAGCATGAAGTTCCCCTCATCCTTACTATCCTATTGCTTTTTCAAGTCCACATTCTGGTCTAATGGGCCAGATCACATTTTTTCCTTCCTCTGAAATACCTTCAGACATACAGGAAAAGCAATATCAAGCTTTACAAGATAAAATTCTTACACTTGTGACTCTAACAGAGATTTTCCAACCCCATCGTTGAAACTAAGTTCATACCTATTATGGTATACTAAAGCTTAGTGCTAACCAAAACACTAAAAAGGGTTCTTTAAAAGAAATAGTAATCACCAAACCTCGAAAGTCTTTATATATTAGTAGTATCAGTCATCTTTTAACTAATGTAATCAGTGAAAAAGCATACAAAAATTGCTAACATGATGCTGAATTACACCAACAGTTACTTATTACAGTTCTCAAAATCATTGTTCTAATGTAATTCTTTGCACTTTTCATCTCTGTACTTCAAAATAAATTCTGAGAAGTAGCTTCTCTCAACAGTGTAGAAGGGGAGATTAACCCCAGAGAAATAAGATCACAAGTCAACCACAATGTCCATCTGTGAAAGCTGAATTCCATGTCAACCCCTTCTCCATCCCCTCAGTATCCTTACATACAAGCTCAGACATCCTGTATTCAGCATGACCTGTACATCACAGGAAGGGAGCGTGGCTGTGCTGTTGGGTTGTCCTCCACTGACACTTGTGGTTTCAAGCCTTCATAAGAAGAGGCGGAATTCTGAAAAAAAGAAAAAAGAACATTCAGTGCACTAAAGAAAATATGCTAACTTAGTTTGACCCTGAAAGATTTCCTCACGACAGTGTGGGGAAGGCTGGGAGTCTGGTAATTTTGGTACCAATATTCCTGTAAAGTCGGGTCAGACTTTTCCACATCAGCAGGGAGCCTACCAAAGACACACAGGAGCGAGTCAGAAAATAATGGTTTTGTTCAACTTGACATGTTCTCCAGAAACTATAAAATTTCAACTTTGCCATGGTATCATTTCTTGCTGGGAATCCTGAGGAGTTTCTGAAGTGCTGGGGCTTTTATTTTGGAAGAGAGACATCAGACAGCAGATCAATGTTATGACTAGTATGACAGAAATAAGTTATAATTGAGGGTTACAGGAGCATTACCTATCAAAAACACCAGAAAAGACTGCACTCCCTGGGAGAAAAAGGGACCTCTTTTCTCCTCCTGGAAAAGCTGTATCCAAGGTTTTTCTTTTATAAATCCAAATTCAGATTCAGATTCACACTGAATTGTATATACTGCTCCAGGAATGCCATAGAACTCAATCACATAGTGCTTATCTTTTTTTTTTTTTTTTCCTTATTATTTGTATGAGAAAAAAAAATAATCCTTAGGATTTATTATATGGCTGTATTGTATTTATTATAAATACTGGTCTGGTTTGGCTAGAATTTGCAGGCCTATGTTTCTTGTCAGGGCTGTAAGGAGCCTTTAGAAAATCTGCTTTCTCCTACTTCCGTATCACCATTTTCGGCAAAAAGTGCATATGTGCCCACCTAATTCTGCATTGAACCCAAGCCAGACAGTTTGTAGCACATTGTACAACCGTTTTCTCTCAGTGGTATGCTTGAGAATGTCTTTTGTAATAAATATGATAATGAAAATTAAGCAAGTCAAAGCAATTCATTAAGACTTGCTCAGGTTGATTTTTTTTTCTAGCACTAATACATTCCTAACAAAACAGCTCTACAAAATTTCTGAGAGAAAAAGAAAACTGCTTTAACAAAGCTCTCCTTTGCTATCTTAACATGCTTATTATTTTTTTTTTTTCTTTCCATTTTACAAAAGCTCCAGCTTGTCACATTTTGATTGTATAGCATTTCTTCCATTTTCTCTTAATTTGGTGTGCTGTATCATACACCGAAGCAAACCATTTCTGTAATGGGACACTTTTTGATTGATGTATTGGAGCTGTAATCCTTTATAGAGTTCAATCCTTAATCAGATATTCATATCTAAAGTGCTTCACTGGATCTCTGTTACTGTTAAATGCAAAGTCTTAAGTGAGTTCTGGTCTGCAAAGGTAGGAGCTTTATAGCAGCCTGACATTTCTTACTCTCTCACGGCTAAGATCTGCTTTTGCTAAACCACTTACAAATCAGATGTGCCAGGCAGAGAACTTAACCTCAACAATTTGATTAATCTTCTTTGAATTATAGTGGTTTCATGAATCAAACTTCAGAAGGAGCTTCCTCTTTTCAAGTAATGTTAGCAGGATAGAATAATGCTTTTAAAGTATCTTCCTTTTCAATTTAGGATTTCAACATGCAAATTCAGCAGAAGCCAAAAAGCAGTAGCACAATGGAAGCATCAAAAACATTTATTAAAAGCACTCCATTGTGCTTGGGGAGCATGGGAAGAGAATGAAAAGGTGAAGGAGAATTTAGTAGAGCACTGCACAGAAACAGAATTAGCAAGTCATGAGATATCACGTGGTTGTTAGCAGACTGAAAGGCTCTGTTGATTCAATTTATTCATTAGGGCTTTTCAGTAGTGTAGGTTATTGAGTAGGGGTATATTACAACTTACTTTTTATATTTCCTTTCCTGGAGGATATTTAGCACCAGAGAAGCGGAGAAAGTTATTGAAGGTATCATGCCACATAAGTGGGAGAACGATAGGAAAAAGAGCAGTACCACCAGCTCTCTGAAGATGGATCGAAAGAGCAATGCTGGGAACAGGAAGTCAAGAAAGTTTCGCTCCATTTCAAGATCACTTATATTGTGCAACGCCAAAAACAGTGATGATGGGTCAAGTCCCGATGAGAAATGCCCTGATCCGTTTGAGATTTCTGCTAGCTGGGGTCAAGAGGATTTTGACTGCTGCCCTAGAACACAACTGCCATTCACAACAGAGACAGAAGACAGCCCACCTGATCCTCCACGTGTAATCACCAGCATAGTCCAGTCCAAGGCTGCAGCAAATGAGAACTGCAACAACATGAGAAGAAAGTTACTCATCAAGGTAGGCAACCGCGTGTTATATTGTAATGTTTCCTATTGCAGTCATTCCTAAATGGGTTAATTCATATTTCTCAGGAACACAGGATTCCATCTGTCTTTTTCAGAGCTTATGAGCTTGCAGTGTTCCTGCTCTGTATAAACTGCATGAAAATGTATTAGCTTCCCAGCTGTGCTGTTACACTCTGCTGATTAACGTTCTACTGAAATCTGTGACTGATTGGTCATTCCTCAGTGTATTCATACTAGCACAGCTGATGCTTCCTACTTGCAATATGTACTCAGCTCAAAATACAAAACTGTTGCTATAGGAAAATGAATGTGAGCATAAATTATATTAACACTGTTAAAGATGCAGGAGATTCAGCAGGCAGATTCTATCTGATTCAGGAAGGAGGTAGTGGTGGATCTAAACCAAAGAGGTCACTTTCTAAAGAAAACATTTACATCTTTTTAGAGATGTAAGTGTTCCATTTTTCTTCAATCAAGAAGAAACTATTTTAACCCCCAAACCATTTTTCAGTCTAGGCAATGCACTTCAGATGTCTTTAGAAAGTTCCTTCTCTGTGACATATCCTATTTGTTCACTTTCTATCTACCTGTTGGTGTGAGGGGGAAGGGGGATGTCACCACAGCTATGATATGATTTTTAATCCAGTCTGTGTCCTCCCAGCATCTAATATTCGAATACAGTATTTATACCCAGTATTTATGCTTTTTACCTGTGGAAATAGTGGCTTATGTGAAAAAAAAAAAAAGTTTCTTTCACCTATAATATTCTTACATATTCTATTGTACTTACCTTCTGTAAAAATTGACTAAAACCAGACCTCTACATCTAGAGACAGAGTGGCACTTAAAATCTGAATCTCCCCTTACTCCTTGAGTTTCTTGCTGATGATCACAGCACACAGCCCAATGTTACAAAGACTGCAGCAGGACAGAATTCAGGTGAGGAGGTATCTTAGCCCCTTGGCAAAACCACAGAATGAGGACAAAAACAAGCCAACTTCCTATTGCATTCTGACAGAAAACATAAATAGGTGGAACTGACCAAAGTCCCAAAATACACACAGTCACCTGCAAAACCATACCACCTCCTCCCATTTGGAAACAGTTTGCATGCACTCTGCTGATTTGTGTGTGTGAGTAAAGAAGGAGCTGGCCTCTGTGGATTCTCCCCTTTTCTCTTTATCACAGCCTGAGACACTTTCTTAGGTGTGTGTCAGCTGCTGCAGTCTGATTACTTGCATACCTCCAAAATATGCCAGGCTCCAATAACTGTCATGATCCATATGCTTGTGAAACTACTCAATATCTTATTGCAGACTGTAAGTGTAGATCATTTGCTTTTATAGCTGGCAAGCAGCTCAAATAGGGATCTGGGGAACAGAGTAAGTCTCATAACTAATGCTGTTGCACAGATAAAATACAACTGCTGAGGGTATAAATCCTCTCTTAGGTTGGAATGTTAGTGTCACTGAACAGGATGGGTCAGGAGCCTGGATGGAGGGTGACATAAATCAATCAGTAACCCAGGCCTTTCTGGCAGTATTTGGGTTGCTTACTGCCACTATAGACAAAAGGCACAGTAAATTCTTTCTCCAGAGCTCTGACAGCAATATAAACTTCTTCAGGTGCCACTTGCTAATATTCCTACCTTTCAGAGTCACAGATCAGCGGCTCTAAAAAGTCTTATCTCAGCATGCTAAATTTGATAACTCCTACACGAACCTTACCCTGTACCACTGCTGCTGAGGCTTTGCCCTATATTATGAAAGCAGTGATCTTTTTTTCCCCATATGGCATAAGCCTGGCATAACAACCTTTCTATAGCACGTGTGTTAACTTTAGCTTAAAACCTCTCTGTTTAAGAAAGGAGTCAACAGCTATTTTTCAACTTCTAATGTACCACACTCTCCTCAGTCCATGTGACAATTCAGAAATTCATGATGCGTGACTCAGAGCTAAAGGGTCCTTGTCTTTGTTCAAGAAAATTGATTCCATTCTTCCTGTGGTGTTGCTGAGATTATTGCATTATTCGTTTGCTTTCCAGTGCCTGCAGCCTTAAGCATGACTCTGAAGGTGCTAATAACTCCCACAGAACTGCATAACTTAATTTTTTCTGTCACATTGGAAGTAGAGAAGAATGTTTAAAAGTGCAGCATGATTTAACACTCCCTGTGACTCTCTTCTGCAGAGCTAAGGGGGAACCTGGAGCATCAGTCTTCCTGATACTAGTTCTTCTCTACTGCTCAAAAACTTAAGTATCTCTGAATCCATACCCTGTCAATTGCATGAGATTCACTGTTACAGAAACTGTACCACACTGACTGGGATGGGACTGCAAAGTGATGTCACTGCTCCTCTACCAGCTGATCCCACAGCACAGTGCTAGGACTGACTTGTACTAACACACACATTTTTGTTTTCAACCAGGGCATTCATAGCCCACATTTATGCTGCTAAAAGTTGTGACACTGGCTACCATTTTCATTGTGGTGATGTGTGGCAGTATTAGATGACAGGGGTTCAGTTCATAACTGCATCTTCTAAGCAATTTCCTTCCAAAAGTATATGTCATGGTGGCACAGTCCCCATGTAAAGGACAGACAGCTTTAACTGTTGTCATTGACACCTCCTCTGTAGTGAGGTTATATATAACCTCTTTGGTGGAAGGGGAGAAGGTTGAAACAAGACTTAAGTAGGAGACTATCAACATCTATTCAGTGGTTCATTACATTCAAGGCAAAAACATCAGTGGGTGCTACATCCATGTAAACTATGCAGTTACCTGAGACATTTGGACATTCAGATCCTGGCAAAACATGGCCATTATATTTTGCATAGGGCCCTGTGTAGCAGATCTTAGTGGTTATGCCATTCCATGACTTTAGCCTACACTGATAAAAATGACATAGATATGTCATTTTCCTGCTGAAGTCCTACCTTCCAGTCACTTTTTTTTTTTTTTATCACAGAAAATCTGTTATGACATGCAGAGAACAGAGAAGACAGGAGACAATCTGGGAAAAGGGAAATGGAGAAGGGAAAAGAAAAAAGTATGAAGACAGGAAAAGAGGAAACAGAGAATGTGTACTTGACTATAAAATACTTCAAAGCAAGTGAAGCAAGAGGAGGAAAAAGCAATAGCCAGGAGCAGTGAAGGAATCAGACTTGCAGCAAAGTGCATTTGTTAACGACTTCACATTTCCTATCAAATACCATGTTCTTCCTTTTTTTTCCTTCTCTGCCTCCCCAGTGCATTTTGTGCACTGCAACAGCAGACTTATTCACCTACATGTTGCTCTGCAGAAAGGCAAGTAGAGATGCCACACTTAAGGGCCATTAGTTCACAGACTTTCCAACAATTTCTTTCTTTCTGTCTGACCTATTGTACAAAAATAATAAAAGCAAATAACACGTTACCATGCACACTCAGGCAAAGAATAGCTGGATCAAAATCTTATAGCACATAACTCACACACTTTAAAATGGTACCTGACAAAGACCTCAGTGTGATCCATTAATCTCGTATCCTCTTCAATGCATCTCCTCTACTTTCATTATATATTCTAAATAGCAATGATTTCTCCCCCTTCTCTAAATGTACTGCTAACAATGATGAGAACAGTCTTTTAATTCATTTGGTTTCTTTGTTCCAAGATTCACTTATATTGACTCTTGCTCACTGTACCTACAGCACCCGGCATTACCTGGGCATCATCCATTCAGCCAGCTCCTGGACCACTTAGTTTCTAAAGTGAGGCGTATTTACTCTGGCACTGACAGAGCTGGAAAACCAGCTTGTCAATATATAAATAAGCAGATCTGCTTTATAGTTTGCTTCTCACAAACTCAGCAGTTTCAGCTGGCCTGAAAAGGAAAAAAAAAATAAATAAAAAATTATCTGATACCTGATGCACTGACAAAGCAAACACTTTTGAAGACAGCCTTGCCTGCTCGTGTCATTACAAACTCTGAGGCTTTGTCAGTTGTAGGAAGGATGGACAGGAGTAGACAATATTGACTTGTTCTTCAGAGAACAGCAGTCTATGCTGGGTAAGAGACACTCCCAGAAGCATTACATTACAGTCAATGGGCTCTCAGCCCTGCACTGTGGACAGTCTGGGAAGCACTGAGGTACGAGCCACAGAGGATGGTGGTAGGGGTGAAAAAACATTTAGAATAAACTGTAAACTGGAAGGGATGGCTCTTTACACAAACGTTAGATCCAAACTAATCTGACTGCATGATTCCTCTTGGTTCTAGAAACTTCTCTGTCCTTGCTCCCCTAGGTCCGTGACTGTCTGCTTGAAGAAGGAAAAAAGCAAAAGGTCATTTTCTCTCTTGGTCGTCACAAGAATTATTTTTATTAACTCGCCTTTGTGCAAAAGCCAGTTAGTTGGCTGCTTGGTACCAGGACAAGTGTTATGGCAACAGACTGTAATGTCTTGAACATGAGCCTATGGGAAGGATGGAAAAACAAAGCAAGTAAGGGAGACTATTTAGACATTTATGTTTTCTCCTCCCTTTTTCTATTTGCTCTGTCTTTCCAGCCTTCCTGTTTTGTGACATCAGGACCATGCTATCCCCAGAGCAAGTTGGAAAAGAGGCTGTTTTATTAAGATAGTGCATGCTGCAAAATGTGGTCCAGGGCACAGGCTCCCAGAAAAACATACCAACGAAGGGTGGAAAGGTCTGTCTGTAACATCTAATATTCTGATTGTCTATGGAGGGCAGAACCCGAATCCCATGCCCTGATTCTTGCATCATCTAAAGGCATTCTGGCTTCTACCATTTTATTAATTGCAAAGGGAATATGCTGCTGGGAAAATGAATCACATCTACTATAAATATTTTGGAAGGACCAAGGCATTGGCTAGGGCACGTCAGAATCAGTGGAGTCATATCAGTTTGTACCAGAGATATGCTGAAACTTGTTAGAAATTATACAGAAAAAAATGGTTCTTGAAGAAAATCCCCAAAGGCTGTATTCTCTTAAACTTCCACTTGGAAATCCCAGCCATTTCACAGTCAGAAAGCCAGAAAAGCCAAATATTTAAATTCACTATTGTACTGTTGTAAGAATTTTTGTTTTATTTTTATTTTTTGGCCTTTTTTAAACAACAATCAACTCATTGTCATATGGTTAGTTAACTGAGTCAAAGACCTTACTTGAACTAGCCTTGTATAACACTTTACTTCATTTCAGACAATCTAACTACTGTGTCTTATGTTAAGAGTGCACAAAAGTTTTTTAGTTTTTCACAGATGCCATGGTTACCCTTATTTCAAAACAACATCTGGAATGAGATGTTTTGAGACAGGACTCTGGGCTAGAAATGTTTAATGAGAACATGAAGGGAAAAGAAATCTCTTAAATGTCAGATAAAAAAACATCCTCAAACTTTTCATTTGGCATGACAAAAGAAGAGGAGCAGGAGAGAGTTGGCCTGGACTTGCAAATGACTTTTCCAGAACAAAACACATGAAAAATTAATCTACTCTCACCTGCAACACAAATGAATTTAAGAAGACTTTTGAAATCTACCTTTGACTTTAATGTTTCAGCAAAGTAGATTCAGCTTAAAGACTAATTTTTTTTATAATGCACTTTCAAAGTGTTGAGTTGCAAAGGCCCTTATAAGCAGAGAAAGATTTTATTCACTGGCCGCAAATACACATTTAAACATATGTTCTAATAATGAGAAGGCAAAGTTGACGTAGAATCCACCTGCCCACACACCAAACCTGTCAACATTATTTTAGCAAATTTTCAGCATTTGCTACATTCAGAGCTATAAATCACCTTACAAAAACAGCAGGACGCATTAAAAGGGAGGAGGATACAAAACAAATACTGCCTTTACTTTTGGAACCATCAGCAGTATTTCTACGCATAAAATAACAAGTGAGACAGGAAATAAAAGACATTAAAGAACAAAACCCAAAGCAAATTGAATGCTGGAACGTGAATTGGTCAAGTGCTTACTTTTCTAAAGAACAGCTTTTATTAATTTTCTGTCATGTTGCAACAACTTGGATCTGAATATAGTGATCTATATCCAAGATCCCCAAAAGTGCAAATGCTGACAACGTACAGATATTTGCCACATGTGTCTGCAGCCCAGTAATCTTTTTTAATTTTTAAGTAATTCACATAAATGAATTTTGAAAACTATTGACACACACAGCCTATTTGAAATGTAGCCCAACCTGGTAAGATGACTACAGATTTAAACAAATTATTTTCCCAAGATTTTTCTGCATTTCATGTAACTTTTCTTCCAACTGAGTGTGTGCAACTGATTGCTCTTAGAAAGAACATTCATATAAGTTCTCATTGCTGTCATTTCACATGTATGTCCCCAAATTACCACCCTAGCACTTGTCCCATTGTACAAAACACATCTTTCCCAAAGGACTTAAACAGTGCTAAAAAAAGCAAGCAAACAACAACAAAAAACCCTTCAGAGCCAAACCAATTGCACTTTTGTGAAGTCCTGAGAAATTGATGAGAGCCAAATGCCTTTCTGACAATTAGATTAAAAAGGTTTTTATAAATACTATCAACGCAGCAGCTGAGCACTATGAGAAAGTTACTGGAAGAGTAGGAGCGTAACTGATGATGTTCTTAACAGAGACAAGTTAGGGACAGTTTGAAAAGGCCCACTGTTAAGTTAAATCCAGACTGAAATGGAGAAAGATGAACAACTATGCAAAGTTCTCCATGTGTGTACCTAACCAATACTAGTGAGAGCATGTCAACATATTTCAGGGGAGCGGTACAAAAGACTAAAGGATTCTACCTTTAATATCTATCTTACATCTTCTATGCTTTAGAATTAGCACATTGCCCTTCTGAAAACCTTAAAAATTTAATGGATGCTTCATGTTTGCAGAATGTAGCCTGTAATTTCTTACTAATACACAAAGCAAATAACAAACATACATAAAGTTAGCTAACAATTTTTGCTACTCAAGATCTGACTTTTAAGACATTAGAATTCTAATCTTTGTTTTCTCACCATACTAAAGATTTTAAAGAAAAAAAAGAACATTACATAGTCCCGATTTCAAGCAGGTATTTCCCAACGGTATTTACTTTAGTTAAAAAGTAAATACAGAAGCTCCAAAACTAACACTCGAGTTCAAACAAACTGGTTTAAAATAGAATTTTGTCCATACTCATGCACTTACCTATCACTCACTAGAAGTACTCTTCTTGAACAAAAGAGGCTTCGTAAAATTCAGACACTCCTCAGTAATGGCAGACAATCTGGAATGCAAGCAAACCCACAGAGTTAACAAGTCAGTCAATACAAGTATAGCCCTTATCCATTATATACTGAATTCAGCCTGTAGTGAGCATAGGGCTCAAACTCAAATACTTCTTTCATTCACAGCCTTAGATTTACTCTGGCAGGTCTCAGAATGGGAACCAGGCTTCAACATCCAGGATGTCAATGACCTTTATTGAAATTGTTGTAAATCCAAAGTTTGCCTTTGTTGTCAGTCAGATTCTATGATTCTAAGGTATATTGTGATCCCTATTGATCTGTGGTGAAAGGGCATAATGGTTCTAACCTTCAGGGCTAGATGAACTCTGCTTAGAGCAGAAATGAAACCCTAGTGATGCTGAAGAAGATGATTACGCAGCTTTCCTTGTGCTGTCAGAAGACTTTAAATCACTGGAAATAGTTCGTGGCACTCGGACCAGGGGATCCTGGAGCAATACCGACCGTCAATTCCCATATATTGTGAATGAGACAGCACTCCTGACAATGGCCTGTCCTAACATATGAAATGTGCTTCCCCTTCAGAAATCTATACCCCAGTCATACAGATCTCCTGGGAACAAGCCTGGATCCAGGATACACTGAGGACCCTCTTCATTTTGTGGAGTATGGAGAGGCTGGTGGGGGCAGGGAAGGTGGATTTAGCAGGGAGGAGAATGAGTGAATACTTTAATTAGGATATGTAACTGAGCAAATGGAGAAGAAATGGTGTGCTAACTTCCCAGTTTCCTTTGTTTCTTTGGAATTTGTAAGTGTTTAAGTATTTGTGCTACAGGAGTGTATTTCCTAGACAAATGTGTTGTCCTTTGTATGCTTAGTCAATTCATTCCTTGCTTTATTTACTCATATGACTTAAGACTATTTCTCTTTCTGTATGCCCACATGTTAATGATTCATAACTGTGTTACAAATGTGCTTACAATTAGTCCTCCAGATGCAACACACAGACTACAGCAACCTCAGTTTGGAGCAGACAAAATCTTCCACTGTTGCAGTCATCTTTGCTCCCTACCCCCTCCTTAAAAAGTCAGCAGCTGGGGTGGAGCTTCCAATGTTTTGTATACACTTATTTTTCATTCAGACATCTTGTGTTTCTGGAGTATTTCCTTTTCTGGTGTATGTTTACTTTTCCTCCCTGTCTTTTCTTATAATAGTTAGCATAGGCAGAATTTACCTAGTTACTATAAGAAGTGTATTATCAGTTCTCTTTCCCTCTGTGCAAAGAGGCACTCTGCTGTAGTACTTCACTCTTTTAGACGGAAGCCACTAATGTCCTAAGGAAAACAACTTTTTCTAAACACTGACTCTATAACACAATTATTCATTCACAATTGCACAGTGTTATAAAGGTCTTTTCATCTTAAAGGCAGTCTGGTTCTAAGGACATTTTCTGCATTTCTTAAAAAGGCTCAAGATAAGTAACTTTTAACATCCTTGGTATGTTTTCTTTCAATGCAATCTTTCATCTTCCTGAATCAGGACAGCTGCATCTGCAGATTGTGTACAACCACAGGGAACAGCAGCTCAGGAATCAAGCTCTCTAGGAATCCAAACTGTACACCTCTCTGGAAAGGGTTCATGGGCTGCAAGGTACCTGCTGGAAGCACAGCAAACAGGTACAGTATGTATGGAGTTAGTAAGCTTATTAGGGAGCTATTTGTCTGCATGGATTTTGCATGACCGTGACAAACACGGGTTATTTTCTACTGTCATAGGAGCCTGGTTGCAAGCTATTCAAAGTCCTTGAGCATGTCTACATACAACAAGCTGGCCAGCATGGGAGCTTCCAGGCAGGGAAATGCAGGAAAAGGGAGGGAATGGCTCACGCTTGAGCTCTGCCCCCATAGGTAGTACAGATACTAGTGGCTTGAACCATTTGGCACCGAGAACTTAAGGCAAAACAAGAGCCCTGATAGTAAAGGCAGAGTAGTTAGAGCCCAGGAAAGCTTGCAAGTAACAGTATTCATGGTCAGGACAGCGCAACCAGCCACATCAGGGTGTTCCTGGGTGTCTGGAGCAGGACTGCAGCCATACATACAGCAAGAACAGTACTTACCATGGCTTTATTCTAAGGTACACTTCAAGTCTAAGCTATCGATGGATGCAGCTGTATATGGAAAGGTAGTTGTTGATCACCAGGACTGAGCAGAAAGGGAGTAGTGATGGGAAGAAGTCCTAGCAAGGGATGGGGTGCATCATACATCAAAACGTGCCATGGCAGCTGTGTTCAAGGCAAGGGGAAAATTGCAGTTCACTCCTTAGTAAGGCATGTAACACACTAGTGCCATATTGTTCATCTATAAAATGATATGCATGCATGTTCCTATTTTCTTTCTTTTTTTTTTTTGTTTTTTAAGGGATGGTTGTCTGAGCCCAAGGGATGAACTGTTAGCACTAAATGGACAATCACTTAAAGATCTGTCTGGCAAAGAGGCTGAAACTCTCATTCAATCATCAACACGGCTGGTGAACGTAGTGATGGCTAGCAAAGTAAGCATGAAAGTTGTGTTTTCCCCTCCAACTGTGGGGTGATTTGACAACATTTACTTGAGAGAGAAGGGGAATTTGTGCAGCAGACATTTGAAGAACATGTTTTTTCTCTTCCTGACAAAACCCCAAACCTCTTGTGGTCAGACTCTGGTAGCTTTCAGCATAGCTTTTTCCCAGATAAACAGAGGCTATGGGGAAGCCAAGGCCCTGGGAAGTTCTAGCAAAGGCTGTACAATCCCTCCTTTTAGAAACCAATTGCTTGCCAATTTTCATTTGCCATTTGGAAGTTGAGCAAAGACAGAGGTGGATTAAAGGAAGATCCATGAATCCAGGCCCTGTACTGAAGTAGTGAGTTTGTTCTTTTGCTTGTTTGTTTTTGTTTTGTTTTTGTTTTTGTTTTAATGTACGGTCTACAGCTAGGAAGTTCTTGGGATGAATGCTACCGGAGTCTGCTACAGAGACAAGTCATCTTCTGCTTTTAAATCTACAGTAGAATAACATAAAAAGCTCTGGTATAATCCTGGAATGAGAAAACAATCCTGACTGAAGCTGCTATCAGGTCTGGTACAAAGTACCTCTTTCTAAGATTGAAGTGTTGTGAATTGTCTCACACAGATGTCTACTGGATTCTGCCAAATTTTTTGTTTATTTTCACTCCTTTAAATGCCTAAGTGGCCAGAGATGGACTATATTAAACTATTGTAGTATAGTACCACCCAAGATGCAGCCAGGGGAACTGCACATTTAAAGACAAATCTACTACAAAATACTTAAGGTTGACAGAAAAGGCTTTTCATGCAAGCTGGCTCGTGAGAGAAACACTGCCAAAAGCAGTTTCATAATGCCTCTTTAAGGATCTGCTTTTTTTTTTTTTTTTTTTTTTTTTTTGAATTCTGAAGAGCTCCCTAGAGAAAGGGACCAGAAAGCCCTAGTAGGAGTTAGCTACTTAGCAGATGTCTCCACCTGCTGTCGAAGGAGAAAATTACCATTGCTTAGCTCTTGAGAAACAAACAGCACTACTGTTTGGCTTCTGGAAGAAAGGATTTGTCTTGGTTGACCCCAGACAAGGTAGAACATATGGATCCTGCTCTGATGGTGCTCTATGACTTTCTTAACCCCTTCAGAATATTTCTGACCAAAACCCTTATATATTTGGAATTTTATTATACTTCAATCAGTTTCCCTATGCGGTCTGCATTCAATAATGTTATTCCTTTAACTGGTTCCTTCATCAGTGGCATTCCTTGTGTTATGACAGAAATAGGGCTATCAAAAACCATATACATCCAGTATTTATTCCTTACATCAAACTGTTATTCAGTTGTTATCATTTATTTATTTTCAAACTATTTTAAAAACTTGTATTTAAAATCCTGAAAGTGTTACCTACACGTTTTTAAATGCTAGAACTAGTGGCCATAGTTTAAAGTACAACATTCCAATTAGAAGGGGTTGAGTTTTTGGAAAACAGTAAAGCCTAGGCCACAAAGGTTTTTAAACACCCAGATCATATTTGGTCATCCTTTTAAGATCAGCAGGAGTCACCCATTCACCTTTGCAAAGCTGGGTCTAAACACCTTTTTTTTTTGAAAATAATGACCTTCTAAGACAAGGAAAGCTTAGTTCCCAAAAGTGCCAGTCACCTCCAAAAGTTAGACTGGTTGGCTACAGTTTACCATACATCGAAACATTAGTCTCTCTGAATTGACTGGGGATGACCATTAATTTTCTGTCCATTCTGACTAAAGACCAGAATCTATTTCTGTTACTCCTTTGGCAAGCTATAATCATGTTTCTAGCAAAACTTTGAGCTGTGTTCTCTTTTACCATCCTTTTTAAATAATTAACTTTGCTCCATGTTTTTGATTCAGATTGCAATTTCTACAAGCCAAATTAGTAGAAAATTTATTTTTAAATTGAGATCACTTTCCAGAATTTCTTGCGGTCTTATTATAAAAAATCAACAGGTGGAAGAATTTCTGCTTAAAATGTCCCTGGTCTTTTTGTTTGTTTGTCTTAAGGAAACGTCAACCTGTAAGGAAAGACCTCTGGAAATACAAAATGGTTGTTTTTTGCACAATAAAGCCACATGTCAACGGACTCGCAGTAACTCAACCAGTAAGTTGCAAAGGAGTTATCTTTCTTCTTGTAATATTCAGGGAGCAAACAGCACAACACTCCATCGTGTGATGATACTGCAGTGTTCAAAGAAATTGCACCTGTTGTCCAGACTTAGGCTGAGATCATCACCTATGAACTACTGACCAAAAATCATCACCGTTTATATTCACAATATCCTACAATCAAGGGTGTTGTGCATAAACATTCAATTTTAAGTTTTGGTTTGTTTGGTTTCTGAAGGTTCTAAATAAACCAATGCTCTTTTGGTAGGGAATGTTTGCTTTTGCTATACTTAACATTATGGCTACTCATACAGTTAACATTAAAAAAGATCACTCCCTTCACAGAAATTTACATCTGGAAAAACATTTCTAAGTAAAATTTACCATATTAGATGAACGTGCAGAAATGCCAAAAACTAGGAGAAGTAACTGAGACCTTTCCCCATGTCTGGCAGGCATGAACCCGTACTGGACAGGGGAGACAGACTGCACAACGCCCCGGAAAGCCGTGCCCTTCAGAGATCGGCAGCCCCATGCTCTCCATACCAGTCGGAAATCACTTTCCCAGCAGCTGGACTGCTCTGGAGGGAGAACCCCAGTAAGTACTACAGGAAATCACCTGAAAAACATACAAAATACACTCAGATGAGAATCTTGGAATGACGCTGGCAGCCACGCTTTCCGCCAGAATGTGCCTTCCTCACAAGCCCTGTCAGGGAAGATGGCGCCAGAGACGCCTCCTGTCAGGGAAGATGGCGCTGGAGACACCTCCAGTCTCTGCCTGCTACCTCTGTTTAAAACCCCACACCTCCTCTATGGGGAGTAGGAGAGCAGGCAAAGTACTGTGCCAGCAAAACCCCTTTTCTTCAGCAGCTTCTCCCTCCCCTTGCCCCGGCAGGTTTTACAGTGTGTGTAAATCGCCCCGTGTGGTTTGCACCACCTTGGTAGCCACCCGGAGCCGCCTCAGAGCTCACCGCTGAAGAGGCCCTTTCCTGGGTGTCTCCCCGCCGCTGGCCGTGGAGATGCTCTGTGCACGTGGCTGATAAAACCCCGGCCTAAGCTTCGGGCCCTGCCGCCGTGAGCCTCCCGAGTCACCTCCATTGGCCCAGACATGGCCACAAGCAGGTATGGACTCGCCTCGTGGCTGGTAGTCACTGCCCCTAGTTGCATGAGGTGTCCCACTTTCTACTCCACTGTGAGTCAGACATATTTCAACAACCTCATTAACATATGCCCCTTTGCTATCCAGGTGGATGCTAAGCAATCCACTTCAGGCCAGAAGAGCAGAGGCAGGTTAGAGGGCATGTGGGTATATTTGTGGCTGAAGTCCCCAGATTCAAGCCTGGAGTGGGGTGATGGAGACAAAACTCCTCACAGTTGGCTGCCACCTTCTGAAGCCTGGCTGGGGGTCTCGTTTCTGCTGCCCTACCTTTCCCTGGGCAGTCCTTTACCCTGAGGGCACCAGAGCCTGGATGAGGACTTTAAAGGGATTAGGAGGTGGCAAACCAGAGCACAAATCCCAACCAAACAATGCCCGTGCAGACAAACCCTCAGGGACTTGCTGGACTTCATCTTGCTTGGAGGTCGCACGTGGCAGGTACTGCCCATCCACAGGTTCTTTGGTGGCATCCCAGTTCTGGGTACTGTTCTGTGTACATCACACACAGATATACAAAGCGCATCTTGCACAGACAGAAATAGCTCCTTTCACAAACAGAAGAAGAGGAAATTTGAAGATTTCCACTTTCAGATTCAGGAGACCTGAAAAAGGGGAATAAACAATCACCTTGATGTGGCACTGTGCACTTACTAGAGTATATTTTTGGTCTTTCATAGCACCTCCCTTTTCTTACTTATATTCCCAATACCATGTTGAATAAATAAGCTTGTATTCAGGTCAAATTGAGCCTTATTTTTTGGCATATATAGAAGCCTAATTTTCACTGATATTCCACGCACTTTCACACCTGATAGTTTCATTTTACTGCATAAAAAAGAAGAAAAAGCGTTAAATTTGCTTGGACTTGTAAATGAGCGCTGTTAACTCTGGCCCTTCTGAACCTTGCTCTTTGTGTTAGCTTTAGGTAATGACTTTTGTCAGTGCTTAAATTAGTTTCTAATTCCCAATTCTATGTTCAGTTAGGAGGTTTTCATTAAATATTTCATTAAAGGTTCATTAAAATGGGTCAGATCTCAGGAGTTGGAATACATCTACTAGCTGTGGAATGGAGGGAGAAAGCACTGAGAAATTTCTTGTTTTGGTTATCAAGCAAAAAGAATGTGCTTCACCTGTTTCAGATGTAGAAAGAAATCTACATGTATTTGGTTGCTTATGGAAACAGTGAAGAGTAGTTTGTAGTATGAAGGGCTTTTGTAAGCACTAATTAGTGCACATTTTTGGGAAATGCAGAAAAGGGGCTCTGTATGTCCCATTATATTCTGTGGCAAAAATGAGGGAAGAAGTTAGAACTACTTGTTTCTTACTTAAGTTCTTAGAGATAAATAAGATAATACTTGTCTAGGACCCATAATAGCCATAAACAAGATTTTGGCATGGAGAGTCAAGTAAGACCACAAAAATGTGTCTCTCTACACCACCACACAACCTCAAGGGCCAATGGTTTTAGTTTTGCTCTAGTTTAGTCACTACAGGGCAATTTCAGTAAGCAAGACCTCAAAGTTCAAGTCATGTGCATTTAAAGATAGCAAAAGACAGACCACCAACTGCTGAATGTACCACAAAAGAAGGCCGGTTTTAGCATAAAAAGCCCTGACTACTCAGTGTGGTCTTCAGTTCCATGCAAACTGATCAGCTGAAGAAACAACCAACTTCAGAAAACGAGAAAGGTTTTTTAAAAGCACTTAGTAGCATCAGTTATAAAGAAGAACATTTAAAATAAACAAGTTACTCTAATCTAAATTAAAAAAAAAAAAAAGTGGTTCTGCATTAAGAGTATACCTTTTTTAATTATTATTATTTTATTTTATTTTTATGTCCACAGGCAATTTCAAGGCCGTCTAGATCACTAAGTACAGCACAGCTAGTGCACACATCTTGTGGCTCACAGGCTTCAGTAATCTCAAACATCGTATTGATGAAAGGACAAGGGAAGGTGAGGTTGGTTCTGTTAATATAACATAAATGGAGTTTTAATTTATTTCCCAAATGTGATCTGCAAAGTTCAAGGAAATTACTTCAGGGTATTTAAGTTGCTACTTCTAGATTACCAACTAATATCCAGGCTTTATTAGGAGTGATTAGTTATCATAATTACCTTGTTAACCTACTGAAATATCTGTGAAATTATATCTAAAAAACTATTGTCATTGAAGATGCAGAAAACAGAGAGTACAGAATACAGAGAGAATACAGAAGCTATGAACTTAAAAATATAACTTTTGAACTTGTTGAATAAGGTTCTAAAGTTATTAACACCTATTTAAGTATTTAATATTTTAATTATAACTATTTAGGCTGTGATATGACTCTCGGAAGTTATTCCATGAAGCATGATAACCATCATTTACAAAATCATAATTTATTGTCTGTGTTTTGGGATGATATAAGGACATCATCAGCATAGTATTTTAATTTTTCATTTGAGAGATGTTAAATGGCTTCAAAGGTACAAATTAGTCTTATAACATCCTTCTGAGGGTAGCAGATAGCATTTGACTTTTTATATAAGAAAGAAGGGAAAAAAATAAATCAAAGAGTGGTGTCTATGTACGAAGAGCTATCAGCATTGCTTAAGCTTACAAGATGCATTAACTCTGTTTGGTAGAGGGTAAGAGACAGACATCTCCACAAGATCTTCCTCTGAATGTCTCCAGTTAGTTGAGAGATCAAGATTTTATATGGTGGTTTTATTACTCTCGCTTATGGGAAAGTAAATCAAGGAAAACAACAGATAAATGAATCTCTCAAGGTTGCATACTGGTCCAAGGTGGGAGGAGGAGGGATTTAGAAGCCTTCCTGTGTGTTTATAATTGGGAAGTAATCATTTGCAACTGAAACAAAATGCAAATCGTAAGAGTATTCAACTGAAATTTTCATTTGCTTTTACTACTGGCATAAAGTTTTTTGTTTGACTGATTTTTTGTTTGATTTCATGGATTATACTATTCTGTTAGCTAGTACTTCCTATATAGCTAATACAGAAAACACTGCAAATAAGGTATTATGAAAACTGAACTTAGGCTCACACACATCATTTTTGTTCCATAAATTAGGGTCTGGGCTTCAGCATTGTTGGAGGGAAAGACAGCATTTATGGGCCAATAGGCATCTATGTCAAAACCATCTTTCCTGGTGGAGCTGCTGCTGCTGATGGAAGGCTGCAAGAAGGTGGGATATCCTTCTTCTTTCCCTTTTCCCACTCCAGATTCCCAAAGAATGATATCTAACAGCAGTAAAGCTAAAATGAGCCATAAGTGACTTTTACATCTGCATCCATTATTGCATTTCCAAGTCTCCTTTTGACTACATTTATAATGCAACTTACTGCACAGTATAGTAACAGTCTGACTTTCTATTTTAAAAACAGGTGATGAAATCCTAGAACTGAATGGAGAATCAATGCATGGATTAACACATTATGATGCTCTACAAAAATTCAAGGTTATGTACTCTCCTTCCAGCACAATTTCAGTCTTTATATGCAACATGCATGTTAAGTCAACCCATTCAATCATCTTTTCTTTCCAACAGGCCAAAAAGGGTCTTCTGACACTTACAGTCAGGACAAGCTTCAGCACACCACATTCTGCTTCCAGCTACTTGTCACCCCACTTGTGTCAGTCACTGAGCTCTAGTATATGCATAACCAAAGAAAACAGCTCTTTCAGTTCAGAAAGCACAACATTCTCATTAAATGCTACAAAGCCCAATGACAGGGTAATAATGGAAGTTAGCCTCAACAAAGGTAAGTTCCAAAATTAATTTAGCACTTGCAACCAAGGCACTGATTCACAAAACACTATTAATTTGGTATCTGAATCTTTCCTCACTAACCTAGTTCTTTTCTTAAGTTTTTCTTTCCAGACGTACTAAAGTAGATCTTGGTACTTGCCAGTGCTAACAACTATCCTTCAACAGCAGGTTTTTGAATACCATCTGTCCTCAAGAGCCAATCCTTATTATTTACTTATTTATTTTTTAAAACTCAAGCATTTGATTGTCACATTCATGTCCATCACATGAAAAAGTAAATCCCTTAGCAACAACTACTAGCTATTAAGCAGATTATGCAACTTTTATCCTTTATTATTCGAGGATATTTTATGATTTATCCTTTTATTATTCAAGCAGCTTGTTTCATTCTTGAAAAGGCTTAAAAAGAAATAAAATACATACCTATCTTCTTGCATTTCTATCATCTATTTTTAAACAACAACAGACAGGATGAAATACACTTTTAAACACGGAAACATCAAAATAACAAACAAAGAAAAGTCTATGTGAGGTAACAGTATGACTTACCAAACTGTATGGGATCTGGCATTAATGTACAAAGAATTAATTTACAAAAATCTTAAGCAGCATTATAGAATGCAGAAAGAGGATTGTGATGATACATCAAACAATGGCCACACATCACACTTACTCCTTAATTTTTTAATTCTGTTTCCGTGTGAAAATGTTTGAATTCCACTGTCATGAAAGGTTTTTTTGTAAAATAAATTTGCATCGCACCATGTTTGTGATGTACCAGTAATGAAATATGAACCAGATCTTGGATGGATAAAAAAAAAAGCAGTAGGAGCAGCAGCTAATATTGGATATGTAAAATTAATAAGCACAAGAGTAGGTGTCTGGTTCATTCAGAATAAGTTATTTAAACTGAAGACAGTTGGATGGTTTTAAAAAATACATTATCTCCAATTTTTTTTTAACTGTTTTTTATGCTTCTTTAAAATTATTACTTCTTTCAGAGCCAGGTGTTGGCCTTGGAATTGGGTTATGTAGCATCCCCTACTTCCAGTGTATTTCAGGGATTTTTATTCACACCCTTTCACCAGGTTCTGTGGCGCATATGGATGGGAGACTCAGGTAGGATGAAAAAGAGTGTCTTATGACAAAAGTTTTCCATTGCTCTGATATGTTTTATAGCTTTATATCTGACCTGATTGGGCAGGAAGTCGTAGTGCTTTCTGGAAGTTTTGGGTTTACAGTACATGTGCTATTCTGAGTGTTTGGACATGTATAGTTGTAATATCTGGGATTTCTAGAAACGTAGCAACCCAGTGGCACTATTGTCTTTTGTCTATACTTGGTAAGCTTTAGAGGACATAGACAAGCATAAAGAATTCTTTATGGAGAAGATTTCTAAGTGAAGCAATAAAAACATATCTGGGGGGAAAAAAAATAGATGGCATATTCTGGCTTGCATGGACACTAATTTTTCCTTATGAAAGCTCTTCAAATTCTATCCCTTCTCACCAATAAAAACAAAATATACAAAAAGATATTTGGTAGAAATTCACCTCATAAGATTTATGAACAAGTAGTCATGTTGAACATATTTAGAATTGAATAGAACATAGCATTTTCAGTGAGGCTTTTTGTGATATAACTTTGTGTGCTCTGTAATCCTCCTCTCTCTATATGCCCAAGAATTTAGCTGAAAAAACTGTTCTTCACTATTTGAAAGTTTGTATGATATGAATCAATGGCTTCAGTAGGCCTCTTAATGTATGTGGGTATTCTCAGTAAAGCAGAGAAGAGTGTTCTCAGTTTCTATGTGGGCAAAATAAGGATTTAATCTGGAAAGGTTCAGTCTAGCAGCCACCAGGATTACAACAGTTTGTCATTAGAATTTTTGTATTAGCAAGTTATTCATATGTAGCAGAAGTATGAACATCCTTTCTGATCTTAAGAGACCATAACACTAGCAAAACACTAACAGACCATAAAAATATGAAAAGTGAAGTGTTAA